CAAAAAAAAAAATAAAAAAAAAAAAGAAGAAGAAAAAAGAAAAAAAAGAAAAAAGGCTCGACTGTCTCTCCGGAGAGTGACCACTAGCGAGAAAGATCAGTGACCTGTATGGCCGGCCGTGCCGTCATTAATACGATTTAAAACCTCGTTTTAGGGGTGTAATCCGGTGACCTGGATTTTGTCCGGCAGCACATCGTCATCTAATGGAATTTCAAGTTCATAGTGTAATTGGCGCGATCCGATTACGAGCACAAAGGTTTACCGTGCAATCTGTCAAATTAAATCACTTGCCGCGGGATCTTTAATCGGATTAAAGTGCTGCCGGAATGTGTGTATGCAACTCGGCGTAAACATCCAACAACGGTATCCTCAATTAGACTCAAAAGCGTGGCCGGCGACGACTGGTAATCGACTTGTCAGCAAAATCGCGCGATCGGATTGTTCGAAACGGGCATGGGAACTACTCTAATTGAATAAAACGAGAAAACGAGCTCCGTTGCGAGCGAACTCGATGTAAAATCTCGAGGATATCCCGAGGTACAGAGGATAGTGGAAAATGGCAGTCCTTACGATCGCGCGTTACGAAGACTTTGTTTTTCGGGTCAATTTGCAGAAGCTTGCCAGCGTGTATACACGCTCGCGTGGACATACACGAGCCTGCCCATAAACCTGAATAAATCCTCTTAAAACAGACCTAAAGCCACGGACACGGTTTAGGCCAAACTCTAAAGTAAACTTATTTTCACGGGATAACGCACTTTGAACCTTCCGTCGGACCTCGTAACTGCTCGAAATAAATCTCGCGACGAGAGAGTCGCGAGTCCGCGCGTTTCGAAAGAGCGGAGAGTTTTTTCGAAATCTCTAGACTTCGATGATTGATTTACGACGGGGGAATATGGATGCAGAGAGCACGCTGGGAGTGGGGATCGAAGGATACGAGCCGACGATACACACACGAGAACGACGGGCACGACGGAATCTATCGCGATGCCGGAAACGACTAATGCCATTTTTTCGCGCTCCCGGTAATACCGGGCAACGGTACAGTTTCGAGGATTCTCCGACTATAGCTCGTGTAATCCGGATGAACGGTGGACGAGTTTTATTTCTCGGCATGACGTGAATCCTTGCGAAAATCGCGAGCAAAATAGAACGACGGGGATGAACGTGACACGCTCGAATCCGGCTGTCCCTCCGCGACGAACCCGATATCGAATCGTTGAAAATTTTCCAAAGCTGGACATTGTAATCGTTCCTACGAATATGAAACTCGCCCGACCAAGCTTCAAAAAAAATAATGGCTGAAACGAACGACGCATCGCGAATCTCTGCACTCCCGTTTGTTGTTCAAGGGTATTTGTTGTCAGACGACGTGCTATAAATATCGCCAACTTTTGCTTTCTCTCTTTTTTTTTTTTTTTTTTTCTTTTTTGCCTTTCACGGCGTGACAAAAATTGAAACGTCACAGAAAAATACGCACGCGTATTCGGTGTCCGCGAGAAAACGAAGAAGTTCACTGGGTTTCGCGCAATATCTACTTTGATCTTTTGTGAATTCAGAAATTTCCGCAAGGAGTGCCAAACACAGAAGGTGTTCTTCGTCTTATTTCGCCGTTTGATTCCCCTCCTCACGGTTTCACGAATCGCGTCCCCGTGAATCCGAGCCATTAAGAATCGCACGGGGGCTTCGTACAGTTTCAGTCTAAGTGCATAAATTATGACCAGATCGTGGACCTTTCAAAAAGTTTCTCGGACGCCGCTACGAGAAAGGACAAGATGGAGGAGAGGAAGGGAGGGGAGGGGAGAAACTTCGATACCTCTGTCGCTCTATTTCCAAACCTTTCCACGGACTTTTATCGATAGAGCCGGAGTCCTTTGCCGAGAGTCCCGATTAATTGAGTTCTCCTCGTACTTTTTTTCACTTCGCAAGAGAGAAACGTCCTCCCACTTTCTTATTGCCGTGTCTCTTTCAACCTCCGTCCACCTCCGCCTCGACGTTTCTCCGCGTCGATTAATCTCGATCGCTGTGAAATCGCGTTGCTTGCTTCGTTCCTATTCTCCTCACTCGACAAACGAACGCTTTTTCTTGTATCCGTTCGCCGCCGCCTCGACAGATTTCTTACGAATTCAATTATCACGGAACAAGGCGAAATTAAGGAAACGCGCAAAACTCTCTCTCTCTCTCTCTCTCTCTTTCTCTCTTCCACGCTGGATGTAAACTGTCGGACAAAGTGTATTCAAAATAATCTAGTTATTACGCAGGTTCTTCGTAGTTGTCACGAAAGAATATTTCTTAACATCTGCGTTTCTCTTTGCGGAAGCAAATAACGGAAGCATCTGGTCTTGGATCTAATTTACTATGATCCACTGATGAGGCTAGCCAAGCTTTCGTATCGAGGAGAACTAAACTTCAAGCTATTTCGATGTTTTCCTAGGCAAGTCTCTCTCTCTCTCTCTCTCTCTCTCTCTCTCTCTCTCTCTCAAGAAAGTTTTCCAGACTTTTAAATAGATGGTAATTCTTAAAAGAGGAGCGCGCAACAACTTTCCGGCTCAATTGCTTCCCTCTCTTTTTTTTCCGGATTTACACTTTCAAACGCAATCCTGAATGTTACAACAATCTTCGTGCCAACGCACCTTCTGTAATTAAATTTCCATTGGAAGAGGCAGGCGGCGCGCTTCTCAGCCATTTCGAGAAACAACACGACGGTATCAAGGTGAGCTGCGCGATCAAAGAATAATTTACTCGATCGTGCTGATTGTCCCGAAGGGGAATTCTCATTACCAGTCACGCGTGGAATCATTTGTTCTGTATGTTCGACGAAAGTCTTCGAGCGATTCCGCAGCAGCATCTGTTTCAGAAAATGCTCCGAGACTGGCTCGAGCAATTACGTCGGGAAAGTTTCTTTCGAAAGTTTTTCCACGCTTAACGAGCGTGATAAATTTCTGTTACGCGCTCCCAGGAGCGAGGCAGACCCGAGGCCCAGAGTTTACAATAGCGATAAAAATCTCGTTGAAATTATTCATGGCCCGAGCTTGTACTTCGCCCTTCTCCGTTCAACGGCCAGAAAATTGGTAAAAGAGAGGAGGAGAGTTCTCTCTCTCTCTGTCTCTCTTGCGAAATCTTCTGTTCGATATCAAACTCGCAACACGTTGTTAATTTTGATCGATCCTTACGGCGCAGCGTTGGGATCGCCTTCATTACGTCGTTCGTAAATTAATTAACATTTAGACAGTCCCACGGCGAATATCTATAATTCGGAAAGTACGACCGACCGAGTTTTCGCGAAAATCGATCGGATAATTCAATTGAAATTCAACCGGCTCGTAAATGGATTCTGCGGAATTTAGAAATGCATTTAACGGCAATGTTATTGACACATTAGCGACGCTGAATTATATTCGCGCTTTTGCTTTGTTAATTAACGCGCCGCTACGTGTATCTCTGATAATAACCTTTATAATCGGCGCGAAGGTTTTATCGAGGTCGCCGATAATGACGTAGTTATCGAAATAGATTAGGCTGTCACGGTGACTTTGATTCCCAGGGAGAACGACGTCAATAGGTCCAGCCAGGGATTCTACATTGTGTTCGAACGACAAGGGAAATCTCATTTTTCACTGCCGGCTTGATTGATCCCTTTTATTTGTTTTTGCCATCCCGTGCGAATTTCACGCGCAAAAAAGGGAAGAAAAAAAGAGAAAAGTCTTTGAAAAATCTCAGATTTCTGGTTTGTTCATCGGGTCGTTGATCAACCAAAATTTATTCGCCGTTCAAAACTATCGCGCAGTTTAATTAAAATTTCACTCGATATCTCTCCCTTTTCGTAGAATTTATTTCTTTTTTTTTTTCGTTTTATTTTTTGCTTTTTTCTCCCCAGTCCTCCCAGTGACAGGTTGATGAAGTTGTCGTTTTCTGGGGTATTCTCCCCCCCTTTATGGTATTATTCGAGGCTCCGAGCAAAACCGTTCGTATTTAGGGGCTTTCCATCGTGTTTTTCAAGCTACATCCCTTGACCAGTCGCATGATCGAGAGGTAGGTATACGTCTCGATAACCCATCTCGCGCGTACATTCGAAAAAATACCTCGGGGGACGTATCGAACGTTCGGACATCTTTTACAACGGGATAAAGACATCAGTGTCACGAGATGACACTGGTTTCTTTGATAAATTATAGCGTCCTCCGCTACCCGCCAGCTAAATTACTACAAATAATTGAACGTCGAGATTTTCGAGGATCTCCCTTCCTTTCGAAGTTCTTCTTCCTCTTACCTGCTTTATTGATCGCCAATCCTATAAATTACCCGTATACGCGACGTTGCAGAACAGTATACCGGCGTCCGGCCATACCCACGAATCCGAGGCTAACTCTCAACGAATCCAATCACGTGTCCGTCCGCGAGGACGGCGCATTTGCTCAGGGTTTTATCAAGATTCTCGATACACACTCACTTTATGAAATTTTCGAGGAGCAATCGGATTCCGCCGATGCCCAACAACAGGAAGCCCCAGTTGACGAATCCCGTGAAGTTGTCGAAGCCCGAGCTCCAGGAGAACAGGCTATCTCTGGGACGATGACATCTGTAAGGAAAAAGAACGGTCTGAGTTAAAAGAAATTCCCCGTACGAGGAATCGATATCATATTCCTCTGGCCCGCGACGATATAAAAGAGAAGAAAAGGCACTGTAGAAACATCGCTGGGATATAAGAATGGAACAATAAAGCCGCTTCCATACCCGTACGGTTATATGCATTTCCATTTCAATTTACGAAGGAACACGCGATTTATGCAACGTATTGAAAAACATTTGCCCAAGCTTCTCTCATTTCCTTCTATCCGCCCTATCCACTCGGTCGTTCCATCCTTTTTTATTTTTTTCTTCTATCCTTGATCCTTCTCTCTCGACAAATATACACGATCCGCGACGACGCCAGTAGAAACGGACAGGCCGCGTCAGACAAGCGTACGAACGACAGTTTTACTTTTGCATCCTCGGAATGGAGTAGTATCACTACTCCATCGCTAGCATCCGCCCGTTGTAGAACGGCCGTGCGGCAAACGCTCCGGGCGTTCGAGATTTCCTTTCGCCCGCGACATCTATGTCTATTAGGCGGACAACGTTGACAATACGTCGATCCTCCATCTTATGAAATTTCAATAGCACGTACAACCACGCGGCGAACAGCGAATACAAAAGCCACTCGTCTTGGGTATCTCTCTCACGCGGATAATACACCGGGTGAACCTGAGTAATCGGCTTCCACGGACTACTGGTATCATCCCTTCGTGACTGGGAGCACGACAAGGGCTGACGAGGACCATCGTGTAAACTTTTCAAAAGCGTTTTGTCTCGAAGCATAAAGCGTTCGAGGGAAACCCTTGTTCCCTCTCCGGATAAGACGCGCTTGCCAGAGTGTGAGAATTTAGGGAGACGAAACAAAGCGCGAGATGTTCGCGGCGTTGCTTAAAAGTGGAATGTCCGTATAGTATCGTCTCTCTTCTGCCGTGTGTTAGATCGCGAATTTCTCTCGGGCAGCGAAAGAAAGAAGGAAAGAATGGTATCAGCCGTTTAAACTTCAAGCCTGCTTTCCCCGTTCTTCGGCCAACGTTCCACGCTGGTTTTTAACATCGGAGCGTGATTAAGGTTGAAACTGGAACGGCTTCTAAGTCGCTATCGCAGGAAGCCACGAGACTCAAGTATTTACAAGGGAAGATCCTACGAGCAACTCGATCCAGAGAGAGAGAGTTCTATCCCCCTGGACGTTAAATCCACCGCGTCTCGAAGGAACAATACGACATGTTGGGAGACAATATAAGAAACGCGACGACGCCGGTGACGCGAACAGAGCTGGGCGGGAAGAAGTTTACCGCCGTGAAGAAGGTAATGCCGCGATAAAGCTACGAAAGATTAAAGAGAAGCGAAAGGAAGCCCTTTCTGAAATACTGCCGCCGTTTGTTCCTCGTAATTACCTGACACACAAGTCCCTTATTCCCTGCAACTATGTGCATTTAATGTGATCGTTTAACCTGGCCGCTGTCTCGAGTAAATCCTAACTATTACTCTGAATTTATGGCAGATCGTGGTAATTAATAGAGCCGCGATAAAGCCAGCAGGCTCGGCCGGAGGGCCGAGCACAGGAAGAGCTATCTCACACTTCTGATACTGGCCACGGCCTGCATGGCAGGATGCAGACGTGTCACCGAGGACTTCCATATGCATGAGTGCTACTGTACTGGGTGTCCGAAGTGTCGCGGCCAACTTGCCCAGAAACAACAGGGCCAGAGCAATAAACGCGTAAACGATCTTTCGAGTACTTGGATACAGTGGTACGGCGCGTACAACAGAGACTCGTACCCGCTTCGTGAGTTGAGATCTTAAGTAGTCTAACAACTGTTACAACGTCCTTTAATTCGGTGCAAACGCGCACGATGATTGCCATTGTTTAATATTTATGCAGTGTTTAATATTCATAATAGTTGATCTTAATGTACGAAAAAAAATCTTCGTTTATGAGATATAATGAATTTTATAAACAGAGCAAACTCTAGTAAGCTAGTTTTACCAGGGATGGTATATTTAATTTTTCATAATGATCATAATTGAGATGAAGAAAACCCACATGTTATTGTGCATTCAAGACATCAACGCCAGTTTAGTTTAAACGTATGGGCAAGAATAACTGATAAATTTTTAACTGGACCTTTTTTTTCTTGATAGGAAACTAACAGGCACAAAGTACGTTGATTTTTTAAGCACGCGTTTACACGAAATATTAGAGGAAGTTCCAGTCGATATTAAACTTTGTACGCGATTTATGCGTGATGGAGCTCCGCCGCATTTTAGCCAAATAGCTGGGCAATTTTTAAATCAACAATTTGCAAATAAATGGATTGATCGTGGAGGTTTTATTTGCATGGCCTGCTCGTTCTCCGGATTTGAATCCATTAAATTTTCATTTGTAGGGACATTTAAAATCTATTGTATACACAACATACTGAAATATTACGAAATAGAATAGAGCAAGGTTTCCGCGACAAATTCGAGAAACACCAGGAATGATAGAGAGAGTAACCAGATGAATGACAAGACGCGTGCAGGCTTGTCTTCAAATGCAAGGTGGTCATTTCGAGCATCTTTTGTAAAAGATTCTGTAATTAAAACAGAAAATTCATTATATCTCATAAACGAAGGCAGACAGGACATACATTTATATGACCTTTTTTCATTATTTTTAGGCGTACAATCAGCTCCCGAAGCGGGTCCCACAAGTTACGAAACACCCTGTATATATCTTTCAGCAAACTTAGAAACGAGTCGTTGTACACGCACCTGTGCAGAAAAGAATTTTTAACAACTCGACGTCCCGAAAGAATCTCTCTGTTCGAGGAATTCCTTTGTAATTAAAATGATCCCGAGCGAGCCTTCGTTTCATAAAATTCCTCCGGTCGTTCGCGCGAGAGAAAGGAGAATATCTCAGAGCGTGGAATCGTGATGTCAGTCAGAAGCGGTGTATTTTCGCGAGGCTCGAGGGTGAGATCCGCCCCGTGATCTGACGTGAAGGTACAAGTTACCGTCTACTTCTCAAAGTTCGGATACTCGGTATGCTGCTCTTGGACCGGCATCTCTGTTCCTCAGTGCAAAAAGGGAACTAGTCTTGTCGGTCTTCTTCCGTCTAGACGTATGTTACACGCGAAAAAGAAAAAGAAAAAAGAAAACGTTCGCTCGTAACGCAAGGGAGTTTGCGACCCGGCAGTTTTCAACGCGACCTCTCGATGGCGCGTGTGTTATAATCCCCTCGATTATTATTGATGTCGTAAAACGAGGTGAAAAACTCTCGGGCGTTCAACAACGGAAGACACCCTTCGTTCGTTGTAACGCGGAAACGTGGTTCAATTTTTATGAAAGTGCACAATTTGTGGAATGGCGTCATGTGAAATTCATTCATGCGCCTGTGTTAGTTTTTCGTTTGAAAGTAACAGATTGCACGGACGCGTCGTTGAACGTTTAAAGAGGAAAATCAATGATAAACGTAGGATGAAAATTTTAAAAAATAAAGAATCGAAAGTGACACTTGCAAAAAAAAAATGTAGTGAATAATCGGAAAAGTTTTATGCGATTGAATAAATAAGTGAATTGTATTCTTGTGCTGAAGCAAATTTTTATGAGCTACCGAGAGTCACGTTACAATAAAAGTTCCCTATAGCCTACGTTACGTAGTTTAGTATAGTATAGTATAGTTTAGTATAAATACGCGGTATTTATATTTTAACGCCATCAGACATTTAAATGGAAGCAGGTAAAATTTTCAAGTTTCCGATGTCGACGTTGTTGTAACCAGTAATTTACAAATGATCGTTGTTTCTCGCATCAGAGAAGAGTCGATGTGCAAAAATTCTTCCATTCGCGGTTGCGTGAGAATATGAAAACACGAATGGAAAGGGAAAGTAATAATCGGTGCATTCCGCTGACACGAAACAACATAAAAATTAGTAACATATTTTTGCACGATGCGTCGAAACAACGACGGTCCGACCATGCGACCGATCCGAGTAATAATACCTCCATAATCCTTCAGTCTGAAAGGATTTTTACAACCTAAGCGGTCGATAATTATACAGCGAAGCGCGTAACTGAACACATAACGATGAAAAATTGTTATAACTTCGTAAGAGAAAATCGTATAACAGTCTACTTTTCGCTTTAAAGCGTAAACTTTAAGCTTTTTCTAAAAATGTTTTTCACATCATGCAAAGCGAGTGGGAAAACAAGCAAATGGTAAAAATGCAAACATCTATAAAAATGTTAAAATATTCTTTTCACGACTTGACTTGCCATGGTTTTGGAAATTAAAATTTCCCCTTTACAACGATCTTTCAAAACTTGGTGTACGATATTCTTTTGTCGTTTTATCGAACTTTGAACGTTAAGGTTAAATGACAAAATGTTAGGATTTCTTGAATTTTTGTCGTTTACTCTAATAGGGGAATTCGAAGTTAGATCAAATGACGAGAAAGAATCATACAGCAAGTTTCAAGGAGTCGTTGTAGAGGGGAAACTTCAATCTTCAAGACCGTGATAGATTTAGATGGATTAAAATAAAATTTTTCAGTCTTTTTATATACGTGCAAATTTTTATAATTTTTTACAACACTTTTCCATTTGTTAGATGATATTCGAATCGTAAGAAAACGAATTGGTGGTAGTCAAAGTAGAAGTTTTGCGTTTGAAAGTGAGACAAGTAGAGTGTTATATGATTTTCTTTTTACGAAGTTGTAATGGTCTAAAGTACCGATAATTTTTCAGTTAAATTAATCGCGACGCCAAGCTAACTCCACGAACACAGTTTATACACATTTACCAGAATAGTATTGATAACAGATTATAAAATTCTTTCGTCCCTACAAAACATGTATTCTACGTAAAAATACTCAGTAAAATACCGTTCAATTCCACATGTTCAAATTCCACATGTGCATTCAATTTTGCTCATCGCTGTACATCGTTTCGACTCTTTTAGTTTCCATTTGTTGATAACGAATCGTGACGTGTTTCATCACGGCCACGCATTACCAATCTGAA